CTCTTCTCTATCTGAGCTGCCTGTTCCCCCAGCATGTGTTGCCAGCTTCCACGCCGTGGAGAAGACCTCCTGCTACTTATCTCAACTATTCTTGGGTAGCGAACTCTATTTTTAATGATTTAAGGAAATATCTTAATACTGTCGTCAAAGTGACTACAGCATTTTACATCTCAACACTGTAGTACTCCAATTTCTCCTCATCTTTGATAGCACTTGTCTTTCATTTTCATCATTCTAATGGGTATCAAATGATATCTCATAATAGTTTTACATTTCAGGTAATCATAGTAACTATAAATACAGTGATCTTTGAATATCCTGCCTGTTTTATACATACCATAAATGCTGGCAAATCATTACACATACCAAGTAGAAGTGTATCAAGTCCGACTCATTGCACAAATAACTGAAGGCACACAATGTGTGAACTCTAATGCATGTAGTATTTGGCAAGGTTACATAGGCAGACTTTGGGAGGGGAGGCCTATTTTTAAAATTCCAGATCTTTCACTTACTGGTTGTATGAACTGGGGCAATTTAATTTCAGGGCTTTACTGGGACATGGCAACAGTATGTGTCATGTGATGTGGCTATTTTTAGGGTAAGCAAAATCATTACTGTTAAGTGTCTACACAAACAACAACTTGAGATACATGTCAATTATTATTACCGGTGACTTGAAGCTATGGAGGCAAACAAGGTGCCTGACAATAGTGGAATGGGAAGTTATAACAGGTATGATTTGTGTCTCCTCCATAATAACAAGGATTTCAACTGTCACTGTCCTCCCGCTGTTCATGGATTCGCTTGAGCGGGCCCAGTAACGTCTCCATCGTGAGACTTGTTGTTACTGTGTTTGGAATATTGAATACCTCAGGGGTAGCTTGCCAGGCTTTGCCGTGCAGGTGAGATACTCTCGGTAGCTTGCCGGGCTCTCTGGGAGGGGTGGAGGAATCAAACCCGGCTCGGCCGGGCTGGCTGCGTGCAAGGCAAATGCCCTACCACTGTGCTATCGCTCCAGCCCATAACAAGGACACTCAATTATTTTTACTATTCTTATCCATAATATTAGGCTGTTATGAAAACTACATATTTTCAGAATGGCTGAACTATGTAAATATTTTAATTCAAGATGTGCTCACTTTAAGAAACAGTGCTCCAGCATACTCAGAAACAAGAGAATTTAGGCAGAGAGATTTAGATGAATGCCAGAGCTCCTACAGCCAATCTCCCTTATGCTGCTACCATTTTTTTCAACCAGAAAATATATGGGAAAAGTTGCTTTTTATATGCATGAGCCAATTTTTTATTTGTACTTTTCAGCTCACAACAAAACAAACATTTCTTACAATGTTGGCATTTAATAAAAAATGCAAAGCTTGTCTGAAATTTTAAGGGCATATGTTAAAATTTTATAATTGTGTTGAACTGTACCCTCCCAACCACACATCATTTTCTGCAGCAGACCAGCAACCATCTGATATGCATATATATATATTTAATGCAAATGTGGATGCTTGACGTGTAATTTATCTCCAGTGAAGGATGCTCCATAAGGCCTGTGGACAGCATACAGGGAACTTTGGGTTATAACAGAGAAAGGCTTCTCTGTGAGCCACGTAAAAGGCACCACCCAGGTGCTGAAGTCACAGAAAGGAAGGTTAGGTTACCATGGAGAGGCTAATAAGGAGAAAGACAAACTGAAGACACTAAACTTTGAGCCCTTAAAATGAAAACAATTGTTAAGAGAAGAAAACAATTGTTAAGAGGCCACAGTGCAGGAGAATTTGAGAACCAGAGATCTGTTTTAAAATGGAAAGAGAAATACTGTCAGAAGTAATAAAATGGAAGGCACGCTGGCTTAATGAGATCTGAAGAAAGAGACCAAGCAAACAGACTTGACATAAGCAGGTGCTAGATTTGTTACCCAAATCATATTCAAGTTTTCATTTTTGCTCACCTCTGGGACCAAATGATGTGTTGATTATCCATTTGGCACTGAAAGTGAATGGATCCAGAGGCTCTTAAGAGGCAGCAGTTAGGGGGGCTGGGAGCAATAGGACAGTGGGTAGGGTGTTTGCCTTGCACGCAGTCAACCTGGGTTCGATTCCCAGCATCCCATATGGTCCCCTTAGGACCTCCAGGAGTAACTCCTGAGTGCAGAGCCAGGTGTAACACCCCCACCACCACCAAAAAGCAAAAAAAAAAAAAAAAAAGAAAAAAGAAAAAAGAAAAAAATGCAGCATTTAAGGGCCAGCAGCAAAATGCAAAGCCAAGGAGAGAAGGAAGAAGAAATTCATTTCAATCCTCCATTCAATTTCTTTCATTCAGAAATAGCTTCTAATCCATTACTAAGAAAAGCTAATAGAGACTACTCTACTCCATACCTTTATCTCCTTCTATCTGAGAAGACCTATGTTGCCCTTAAATGGAAGGCACTACAGGGAAATCAAAACTCAAAACCAAAAGAGTACTTAGATGTTATGTATTTTCTGAGGTAGGAAAAAAAAAAAAACGGAAGAAGCTTGAGAAACCATTCTCTCAGGAAGGACTGGTTCTTAAGAAAAAGCCAAGTGGAGTATGAAACGGTAACTTTTCTTGTGGAAGTGGATTTTTTTTCCTCTATTAGACTTAGGCTTCAATTTGGGCTACTTTCTTTAAAACATAAATACATCTCGCATGAGTAAGAACATAATGACTCATGCATCTGTGTGAATGAATTCCATTCAGGGTGTTATTTAACATCATTCACTATTTAACATCAGCCGTCACAAAGGTATTCAGCATCCCTATGCTATGCTGGATCCCAGGGAGTTCTAGAAGGGCTCTAGTGATGGGGTGAGGGAGCATAATGAAGGAAGTGGCTACCTAACACTACCCAAGTACTTACCAACCAACCTATTTACACTGAAATATAGTGGTAGAGTACTATCCTTGTTTCCAGATACTTTCATTTTTAGTTAGCTGAATTATATTACAGAATTCCAACTAAATAAGGAGGGTAATAAAAAATAAGGCAACTCTGGTTTTTTTTTGTTTGTTTGTTTTGTTTTTGGGTCACATCTGGCAATGCACAGGGGTTACTCCTGGCTCTGCACTCAGGAATTACTCCTGGCAGTGCTCAGGGGGCCATATGGGATGCTGGGAATCGAACCTGGGTCGGCTGCTTGCAAGGTCAATGCCCTACCCGCTGTGCTATCGCTCCAGCCCCAAGATAAGGCAACTCTGAAGTTGTAATCCCAGAGTAGAAAGAAAGCATGTAGACTAAAACAAGTAACACAATTTTATCCAAGATAAATTTCTCTCATTTGTCTCCTCTTCTTTCCTCACCATATGCCTGTGTATCTTCACCACCCATAATCACACTAATATTAGGCTCTGGGTCAGTGTACTGCCCAAAGTCCATATGCTACAAGTCAATTCACCCTAAATTCAAGTCGGGCAACATCAATTGACCAAAGTGGCTGTTTTCTCAAATTTCTTTATAGAGTTCCTTAGCATTCTGAATATTCTAGTTTGGTGGGTTGGCGAGACTACAGGGAGCAAGAGACAAAGAGTAATGGCTCTTTGTCTGACTTTCTGCCCTCAGTGTATTCCCTTTTGCAAATAGGTTTGCACTCTGCTCCCTTGGCACCTCTTCTCTGAGTCTCTCAGGCTCCCCTTTCTCGGCCTTGGTTGAGTTATGTGCTGACTAACACATACTCCGTCCTTGTAACAGTGGAAGGTCCCTCCTTCCCACTCCAGGCTAACCTTCAGCTGCAGCAGCAGGGGCCTGAGACAGAGAGAAAATGAACACTCTGCAAAATGCTGATACGACAAGAAAAGTCATAGCGGTTAAAGCCATCCAATTAGAACTGTTACCAGCTTTTAGCTGAACAAATTTTTGATGACAATTGGGAAAGTTGGTTAATTTGGTAAAGTTTAATCAACAAAATAGAAAACACCCAAGAAATGCTAAAGGCAGAAAATTATTTTTAGAGATTTTTTTTAAAGGATTTGAAAGAAATCATTATTCACAGAAGAATGTTTATAAGGGAAACTAAAATTCGTTAGTATCTTTCAGCTATTAAACATTTTTTAAAATGCTTGAAGCTGATAAAGACAAAGAGGTGGGTGGCGAGTCCACCCATGGTTATTTAGAGATTCCAAAGCAGCGCTAGGGGGTTCAGGAGCCATTCTCAATGGCCTAGAATGTCTAGGGGCCACCAAGATCATCCAATAATACCATGCGATCCAGAAATAAATCCCTGGCCCTCTGCATGACGAGCATATACTCCAGCCCTTCAAACTAAATCATTTAGTTAAAGGTTTTGAAAGGAGGACAGTCACTTGATTTTACATATCAATACTTCATGTTGAAATTATGTGCATGAGAAACCACCGTTAATAGCATTGTAAATCACAGAGCCTGAACAAAAAGTATTAGAATAAAAAATTGAATTAGAAAATTAGCATAATACTGAAACCCAAGCACAAAAATTTGTAAGTCTACAACTGTACCTCATGGTGTTTCACTAATAAAAATTGAAAAAAAAAAACCCAAAAACCCAAGCACTTGCATACCAATCACATATTAAAGCTGTTGAGTCAAAAAAAATTACCATAACCACAAATTTACTAAAAAGAACCCTTACAATTTGCCTTAAATGACTAAGGCATTGCATTTTTTCTTGCTTATTGTCTATTTGGACCTCTGATACTCACACTCTATGTCTGTTTTTCTGTTGGCTTATTTAATATAAAATATCCTTCTATATTTTCTTCTGAAAATTAAATTCTATATAGCTGCTTTTTTTAGGAGCTAAGCAAGAGTGACTCATGTTATGTACCTCTGGAAAAAACAAATCAGCTTGTTTGGCATCGATCAATGTTATCTTTTGGTTCAAAGAGGGTTCCCAGCTTTATACTGAGGCTCTTCAAATAGCATGAATCACTGTGATTAGAGACTATAAATTATGGTTTCATGGTGTTAGAGAAAAAAAAAAGTCATATAATCTTACATGAGTGAACAAAATTTCATTCCTGAACTCTTCGGAACTTTCACTTGGAGTCCAGGCTTCAGCAAACTGCAGGAAATCCCATTTCTCCTTATCATCTTCCTGAGCCTGCATTTGCTCCTTCCTCCCATTCAAAGTTCTCCCAGTGACCTGAGTCTGCAAGATGGAAATAAATGTATATGTATTTATAACAGTGTACTTCATAACATTTATGAGGCAGATTTATATTTAATTTATATTTAAATTTTTATTTAATTTATACTTGATTTATATTTAAATAGAATGAAATCCACTAAAGAAAATCCTGTTTTAGCATATCATAATTTTAGTAATATTATTAAAAATTACAATAAAGTTACCAAGTCAATGATTCCTAATGTTAAAGAGGTAAAGGTGTGATGAGAAAAGTCATATTAGTTGCTTTTCTCATTAAAAAAAAAAACACTTTTATTCTGGGATCTAGAGAGATGGTACAGGGATTGTCCTCACAGTCAGAGATATACAAACTTCCCCCATATCCCTGTTCTTCCTGGAGTTGGCAGTCACAACTATGAACTGCGTTAGGTTGGCGCCAGATAAGCTTATTAACCAGCCATAATCCAGAGACTCAAATAAATCTCGAAAGAGATCAACAAGCTGCAGAGATGCTTCCAGACCCCAAAGTCGCCACCAGTTAAAAATTTAACTCCGGCTGTATCACCCCATTCAAATTTCAGAATTCCTGGAGTGACATCTCAAACTGTACACTGCTGAAATACCAGGAGTAGCAAACCACATCGAATGTAGAAGTCAACCAACCTCAATTAAAAAAATATCAACACACAAGGCTTAACCTATAACAACATGCTAGTAATCTCTTAAACAAGGGCTCAATGGCTTTAGAGTGAGATTCAACAATCTTCACATACTTTCTTCTAAAGAAACATTTTAAATCATTTTTATAAATTATTCATAAAAAGTAATATAAAATAAATTATTTAGTGCCTGCTATTGGGGCAGGCTTGAGTGGTGGTTGGGAAAATTGGAAATAATGGTGGTGAGAAGGTGCAATGGTGGTGGGATTGGTGTTGGAATATTGAATGCAACAAATCATCATGAACAACTTTATAAAAGAAAAAGGATGTTTGGAGCCAGTGGGATAGGACAGCATTTGCCTTGCCATATGGCCCCAGAGGCCAGGCAGGCTCTGATATCTCTGATACTAGTGATGGGGTTGGTGTCGGGAAAATTGTACATATAGAATTTGATCATGACTGATTGTAAAGTTGGGTGCTATGAATAACTTTGTAAACTATAGTACCCCTCCCTCAAAAAAAAAAGATGCTTGCCTTGCATCTAGTCAACTCTGATTCAAACCCTGACACAAAATATGGTCTCCTAAGCACTGCTAGGTGTACATTGTGGGGCGTGGTCCAACAAAAATAAATTTTATTCTGGTATTAACAAACTGAAACTGAACCTAAAACTGATTGGACATTTTAAAAATCTATCAGTGCTTGAAAAACCTCCTCAAGCCTCAAATTTTTCATAAACATTCTTCAAGTTGGGGGAAAAACAGTTGAGGGGACAGAGAAAACAATGCTTCTCTTACCGCTTGTAGAATCTGAATACAGACTATTCTCTGTGAAAAAGTAGCTGAGAACTCAAGAATCCCCTGAAGAAAGGGTTTAGTCTTTATATATTACAAAAAACTTAGGATTCCTTTTTTTAATTTTTTATAATTTTATTTATTATTGCTGGAGCGATAGCACAGCGGGTAGGGCGTTCGCCCTACAAGCGACCAACATGACCGACCCGAGTTCGATTCCTCTGCCCCTCTCGGAGAGCCCGGCAAGCTACCGAGAGTATTCGATATGCCAGACACAGTAACAACAAAGTCTCCAATGGAGACGTTACTGGGCCCGCTCGAGCAAATCGACGATCAACGGGAGGGCCTTTACCTTTTTTTTTTATTTATTGAATCACCGTGAGAGCAGTTACAAAGATTTTGGGTCTAAGTCTTGGTCATACGATGAAACACCCGTCCCTTCACCAGTGCCCATTCTCCACCCCCCAAAACCCCAGTACACCCCCATCCCACACCCTCCCCCAATCTGTGGGGCAGATGACTTCCACATTACTCTCTCTCTACTTTGATTACATTCAATATTTTGACACCAGACCCACCATTATTATTTGGGATTTTACCCCAAAACTCAGATCTGCTGAAAAGGAAACAGTAGACAATTTGTTTTCTATTGCTGGTTAATAATAACATATGATGTCGTGTGGCTGCAGTAGTGGCCGCACGATTTTGAAATTCTGAAATTTTAACACTTAAATCTGGAGGGTTTTCTGTCAAAACCTGCTGGGTTCTGAGATTTGTTCCTGAGTCTCTGAGATCATGGCCATTAACCAGCTTGATCAGGAGCCAGACAGGCTGTTCATGGGTGGCGACTTGGGGGTCTCCTTGGGATAGGGAGGAAAGGGCCGGCTCCATCCCTATCCTGTGAATCCCCATGTGTCTTGTCACTCAGGGCCCAAACCTGACAGTTCAATGGCCTCTGGAGGATGGTAGCCACCGAGACACCTAGGGGGAGCAGGCAGAGGGACAGCACCCTTTCCCCCCTGGGGTGGCCTGGTGACAGTAACCTACTGCGGGTTTGGATGCATTTCTGCCCAAAGCCACTGGGTTCCGAGATTTGTTTCAGAGTCTCTGGGATCATGGCGGTTAAGCTGCTTGATCAGGAGCCAGAGAGGCCGTTTGTGGGCAGTGACTTGGGGTCTCGTTGGGGTGGGGAGGAAAGGGCCGGCTCCACCCCCATCCCGTGAGGCTCCACGTGTCTTGTCACTGTGGGCCCAAACCTGACTGTCCAGTGGCCTCTGGAGGATGACGGCCACCGGGCCGCCAGGGCGAACAGACCAAGGCACGAAAACCTATTCCCACCTGGGGTGGCCTGGCGCCAGTAACCTACTGCAGGAACAAGACACATTTCTGCCAAAAGCTTTTGGATTTCGAGATTTGTTTCTGAGTCTCTGGGATCAAGGCCGTTAAGCAGTTTGATCAGAAACTATAGAGGCCATGCTTCCAATTATATAGCTGAGTCAGAGGTAGTTTGTGGGTATGTCTCCCACATACCTAACTTTTGGCTGTTTACTTTCTTGGTAAACTTTGCTCCAAGTTTGTGGGGTCTGGCCGAAGGCACAGCAGCAATTTTGGGGTATCTGGAAGTCTGAAGGTGCCATCAGGCTTCTGATGCACTCACCTCACAGGTACAGACTGACCTGTTGGTGGCACCATACCCCCTAAAGAACTTAGGATTCTTGACAACTAGACACCCCTTACTCTCAACCCTTCTTATCTAGTCTTTGAAATGGAGAAAAGGCTAAGAACCAAACAAGAATGTATGTAAATTCACTCCTCTCTTTTCTTATAGAGAATAGCAGGTAGAGTACTACCAATTGGAGCATTTGGGGAACTTGATCTCTATTAACTCAATACCTTAGAAGTAACCTCTGCTTAAGACTCAACTTTTTAGTTCATGTCAGTTACAATCACAATGAGTAACAGTAATTTGGCTTAAATTCAAACTTTACCTTGCGATTCAACATTCCCCACATAAGGGTGTCTAAAGTACCATTTGCAATCAGGTAGTGAATATTCACAGAACTGCACTGTCCAATTCGATGAGCACGGTCCTCAGCTTGTCTTATATGTCCAGGGTCCCAGTACAACTCGGCAAAAACAACATGAGTTGCAGCAGTAAATGTCAAACCCTAATTAAAATAAAGCAAGAAAATTTAGATGCATATAGACTGATAATATTATATAAAGCTATATATAATTTTTGAATATGTTAAATGGACAGGAGGACACTGAAGGACTGAAAAAATAAGTTTTACATTTAAGTCAAACAAAGAAAACTTAATTCATAAAAGGCAAATGAAACTTGCTTATTTGCAAAATAGCAGGTGAAGTACAAATAATGCATTTAAAAAGTATTTTAATGGCTGGAGAGATAATATAGCAGGTAGGGTTGTACCTCCTGTACTATCTACCTATAGCAAGGAAGAAATCTATCTACTAGATCCCTTAAGCACCACCAGGAGTGATCCCTGAACACAGAGCCAGGTTTAAACCCTAGTCACTTCTGAATGTGGTCTCCCAAACCAAAAAAATGAATAAATAAAAATAAATAAAAGAATCTCGATACTGCAAAAGTCAACTTGACAGATATAAACATTTTAAAAACTCACTCTGCTCTGATGAAGACTGGAAAGTCTAATAAAATACATTATAAGTGAGAATACAGTTTCTACCACAGGGTATCCATAGCAACTATGCAGAATGCAATGGCACCTTTATTCATGTGATTTATACTGCTATTTTATGAAAGCAAGATCATCTTGACTCTGGCCCTAATCTTCCCATTAAAGTCCTTGCTACCAACAAGGACCCAGAAGTTTACTTTGTTATGTCCAATTACATATAAAATAATTATATTTTCTGTACAACTGCAATACAATGGCATAAAATAGTGCAACATTAAATGGATTAACTAAGTCTTGTTTTATAATCAACAAATGAAAAAAGTGCCAACTCTCCCCAAAATAAAACATAAGTAAAAATTTATTGTTTTATTTTTTGTGATATTGGGGATCAAACCCAGGGCTTTGCTCATGCAAGTCATGTGTTCTACCACTAGAGCTACACTCCCAGTTTTCCATTTCTAATTTTTAGATTAAGTTAATTTTAAATTAATCTAAATAAATTAATTTGGGGGTAAGGGTAAGGAGCTTTGAGGTCATACCCAGTGGTACTTAGAGTTACTCCTGGGTAGGCACTCCCCTGACATGTTGTTGACCTGGGTTTGAAGTCCCTCCAGCTTATAAAGTCCGCAACCTGCCAGGAGTGATACCTGAACACAAAGTTAGGAACAAGCTCTGAGAACAGCCAGGTGCCCTGGGACTAACTGCAGACTAGTGACATGCAGCAGGCCTCTCTCCAGTTAGATTATAAGATATGACCAAAGAGCTCAAGTTCCCCTTTTAGATAAGAGATGCTTGCTAACAGTAAAGCAGAACTCCAGAAGGACCCTGAGTCCTAGGGATGTTGTGCAACCACCCTGTCAGGCAGACATTGTCTTTGTAGCACGTTTGTGAGTATTTAAGAAAGTCATTCTTAATTTTGGGTTTTCCATTTACTTGTAACTTTTATAATCCTAAAAAATATTTGGATGACAACTGACTTTTTTTCCCCTCAGGCCACTCTGTCTCACATACACTTATGAAATAAAACTAAGGAAAATAAGTGCTATAGGAAGGGGATTAGAAGGTCCTATGCAAATTGGGAGGAAGAAAATAAGGCAAGGGAAAAAAGTATCTCTGTCCTTGAAAATTTACCAAGATAAGTCCTAAGTATTGACTTGTCTTTCAAATATACTTTCTAGCACTCTCCAAAACAGAATGTATATTTATTATATATAGTATATTTATAATATTTATATATATTATATATATATAAAGTATATATACTTAGGTCGAGAAATCAACATGATGAATGACCTGGCACCTGAGTTACGCAGGAGGAAGAGAGCGGCTTGGAATGCCTTCAAGAGCATTGAAGAAATAACTAAAAGGACAAAGAACCTCCAACTACGAGCACATCTCTTTGATTCCACTATTCTTCCTGCATTAACATATGCCTCAGAGACCTGGACCCTACGAAAACAGGATGAGAACACTATTCGGGTCTCTCAAAGAGGAATCGAAAGAACTATGCTTGGAATATCACGATTCACTCAAATGAGAGATAGAATCCAGAGTTCTGATCTTCGTCAACGCTCAAGAATCAGAGACGCTGTCTCATTTGCCAAGACATCAAAAATCAGATGGGCTGGACATGTAATGAGGTTTACAGACAACCGCTGGACTAGAGCCATTACTGATTGGATTCCACGAGACATCAAAAGATCACGTGGACGCCCACCTATAAGATGGTCAGACTTCTTCGTCAAGACCCTAAATGATCGGTTTGAGGCTCTACATGTTCCTAAAATGAACAGATACCATTGGGCTACGCTAGCACGCAACCGGGATGAATGGAGACGTTACTGGCACCCGCTCGAATAAATCGATGAATAACGGGGATTAAGTGATTAAGTGAAGTGATTTATTATAGCAGGTGATGGATATAAATCATTATCATTTTGCTTGATTAATGTCCCATTATTATCTCAAAAATACTTTATTATCAAATTCAGATATAAAATTTATTACCTGACCAGCAGCCTGAATGCTTAGGATAGCCACACGAGTATCAGGATCCTTTTGAAATTGATTCACCAGATGTATTCTTTCTGAAGAAGGAACACTTCCATCTATCCTAATGTAACGGGTCTGGCATCAAAGAAAATAGCAAAGTTAGGGCTAAACCCTGCGTAACCACCTCATTTAATATATTTTATAGCTTATTTTTATGTTGACATAAGAAATATAAGTGGGTTAGAATGACAGGTTGATAGATGTTATAGAAACATTAAACACATTTCCTTGTTTTTTAAGGAGGAGAGGTGGTACCTCGTGGTGCTCAAGAGACACTCCCAGTGGTTTACCAAATTTACAGAAAAATGTTAACATACCTTGTTTTCTACGACAGCTTCTGTGCAAGCTTGCAGCATGCTTAAATGGTGAGCAAAAACGAGAAATTTAAGGGACTCGTTCTGAAGCATCATCTTAATATAATCTTTGACAGCACCTGCCTAAATAGTAAAAGTTAGACCTAAAGTTATAAAATATTGATTAAAATTCACATTAATTTCTCTAAATAAAGCAGAGAGATTTTTCAAAAATCAGCATTTGAGGGACTGGAGCAGTAGCACAGCGGGCAGGGCGTTTGCCTTGCACGCGGCCGACCCGGGTTCGATTCCCAGCATCCCATATGGTCCCCTGAGCACTGCCAGGAGTGATTCCTGAATGCATGAGCCAGGAGTAGCCCCTGTGCAATGCCAGGTGTGACCCAAAAAGAAAAAAAAAATCAGCATTTGAATAAACTTTTAACTACTTTAGTTTTCTGGTGACCTGATGAAGTAGTTGTTCACACTCACACATAAGGGCATAAAGAAGCAGGACAAGCGAGGGAAAAGACTGCAAAGTAAAACAAGACCAAGTCAAAAATCAAAAGACTGAAAAATGGAAAAAACAGAAACAGGCAAGAAAAGTGTTTCACCTGGAAGTGGATAGTCAAGTAGGCTATAGCCAAGCAACGATTGGGGATTTTCTGTATAGAAAGTAATTTTTAAAATAGCAATATATCAAATTAAGTGGAAGAAAATGAAAGAAAAAACTGGAGCTTAAAAAAAAAACAGAAGATGTGCATTTGGGGGTAAAGGTAAAAGGTAAAGGCCCTCCCGTTGATCGTCGATTTGCTCGAGCGGGCCCAGTAACGTCTCCATTGGAGACTTTTGTTGTTACTGTGTCTGGCATATCGAATACTCTCGGTAGCTTGCCGGGCTCTCCGAGAGGGGCGGAGGAATCGAACTCGGGTCGGCCATGTTGGCCGCTTGTAAGGCGAACGCCCTACCCGCTGTGGGGGGGTAGAAAATTAAAAAAGGGAATAAGAAAGTTAGGACTAAAGCTTAGGGATGAAGGAAAGTTGTCTTTATTAATTTAGAGACCCAGTATTGGATAGGAAGTTTTCTTAGATAACATCACTAACGAAGGGAAAAATATGATGATCTCATGAGAGAAGACGGGAATTTTAATCCAGGAAACACTGAATGGGATGTTGAGCCTTAAGCCTTCCGGGAAGGGCCACTTCGCAGGTATCACCATGCCCTCAAATTCATCCACATTGCACTTGGGGAGCCCCACTTTCTTATTTATTTATTAAAAAATTTTTTTAATAGTGAGACATCATGAGGTACAGTTGCAGACTTACACATTTTTGTGCTTGGGTTTCAATTATACAATGATCAAATACCATCCCTCCACCAGTGCCCATTTCCCACCACCATGGATCCCAGTATCCCTCCCACCCCCCATCCCCCCCATCCCACCGTGTCTCTGTGGCAGGGCATTCCCTTTTGTTCTCTCTCTCCTTTTGGGTATTGTGGTTTGCAAAAGAAACATTGAGTGGCAATCATGTTTGGTCTATAGTCTACTTTCAGCATGCTTCTCCCATCCTGGGAGGATCCTCCCAACACCTTTATTTGGTGTCCCCTTCTTTATCTGATCTCCCTTTTCCCCTAGTATGTGTGGTTGGCCTTCAAGTCATGGAGTAAAATTCCTGGTACTAATCTCGGACATTCTTGGGTGTTTGTTTCCTATTTTGTTACTTTATGTTCCCCAGATGAATGCAATCTTTCTATGTCTATCCCTTTCTTTCTGAGTCATTTCGCTTAACATGATACTTTTCATGTAGTACCACTTGTATGTAAATTTCGTGACTTCGTCTTTTCTCACAGCTACATGGTACTCCATTGTGAGTCCCACTTTCTTGGAGAAAGAAATCTCCTTGAGCTTGGCCTATAGAGCGCCTCAATCACATGCTCCTTGTTCTGCAACTTGGTACAGATAGCTGGGATGACTTGGTCAATGTGGACCTTGATCACTGTGCCCTGGCGCCTTCTAAAATCACCCTAAATACATATCTGAAGTCTAAGAATGGGACTTGGAGATGGCATGAGGACAGAAAAGAATATCTCATGGAAAAAGGTGCCTCTAAGGTCACCCACAGAAGAAACGCTGCTGCCAGCAGACATAGAACCCAACAGGGAGGGAGCCAGGCTGGCTTAATAGGCTATCAATATTCATTAAAAAAAATCCAGGGGCCAGAGTGATAGTACAATGGGGAGGGTGTTTGCCTTGCACGTGGCCAATCTGGGTTCGATCCCCATCATCCTATATGGTCCACCCATATAGGAGCAATGCCAGGAATAATTCTGACTGCAGAGCCAGGAGTAACCCCTGAACATCACCGGGTATGACCTAAAAAGCAAAAAAAAAAAAAAAAAAGAAAAAGAAAAAGAAAAGAAAAGAAAAGAAAAAAATCTAGTATGAAACTGATTGATTCTTAAGTGGGAAAATGAAGGAGATGGAAAAAAAGAAGAGTTTTAACTTGTCACTGGGACAAGAAGGTTGTAGATTAAGGACACAGAAGAGAGCAGTGAGAGAGCAGCGGGAGAAACAAAGAAGTGTAAGGTAGAAAGGAGAAAATCCAGAAAGATCAGAAAGCTCACTTTTCTTAATAACTTGAATCTATGAGTGAGAAGCAACATAAAATAAATTAAATAAAAATAAAATTTAAGTGGATACATGTGTTAAATCAAAACATGAATGAAGTTCCTTAGCTCTTAAAAAAAACAAATCAGGATCTGGAAAGATTGCATATCCAGCATGTACAAGGCTCTGAATCAATTCCTCGCCCACATTCCTGCTCCAGAAAAAAACAAAACAGACAAACAAAAAAACATCACCAGGTACTGGGAAAGCCGAGTATTGGTTCTTATAGCCCCAGAGCCACTTGGACTACCCAGTGTGGTCAATTAATCCAAAACCAAAATGGTAGATACTTAAAAATTTTAGGAAAAGACAACAGCACATGTAAAGACAGACCACATTTAATTCTACTTCTTCTAATGTTAATAGTTAAATGATAGCAAATCACAGGTAGCAAAATTTCAGAGATCAACAGCAACAAAACTTTGAAGAAAAAAAGTAGATAGATGCTTAATAACTGATTGGTCAACAATACAGTTCCTAAGTTGACAGAACGGAAACCTGTCAGTGTGATTTACAAAGCAGTCATCTAAAAACCCTCAGGAATGCTGCCTCTTGAATGAAGATGGGGGGCTGGCTAAAAAGGAAAATCCAAAGAATATTTAAGTGGTAAATAGTTTTCTCTCTACCCATTTCACACAATAGATGATTTCCCTATTCATCCAGAGAACTCTTGAGAAGGTAAACAGAGGCCATGTAGGTGGAGGAAACCTAGCTGATAATAGGCTATCTGATAAAAAAAGAATGGAAGTAAAATATATGTTAGAAAATAAATGCTGATATCTGCCTTTCTCTCTTAGCCTTTTTGCTCCCAGAAATCCCTCCCCAACCCTCCTCCTCACAAAGACAAACAGGCTTATGGCATCTATATAGGGAGCAAAGAAATAATTCTGTACATTTCCAGGGAAGGGAGAAAAATATTTCACAAAATTAAAAAAAATTTAAACTTGTAATTCATTGAATACTTAACATCCATACTAAAAATTGAGAGAAATCTGTCACTGTCACTGTTCTCCCATTGTTCATCGATTTTCTCGAGCAGGCCCAGTAACGTCTCCATCGTGAGACTTTTGTTGTTACTGTGTTCGGCATATGGAATACATCACGGGTAGCTTGCCAGAGAGAAATCTATTTCTAAAAATTTATACCAAGCCAAATTAAAAATCAGGTATGAAAGGAGAATAAAGATATTTCAAGGGGCTGGAATGATACCACACAAGGTAGGGCATTTGCCTTGCATGCAGCCAACCCGAGTTCGATTCCCAGCATCCCATCTGGTCCCTCAAGCAACGCCAGGAGTAATTCCTGAGTGCACGAGCCAGGAGTAACGCCTGTGCATTGCCAGCTGTGACCCCCCCACCCCCCAAAAAAAGACCTTTCAAGTATGCAGTACAAATAATTGATGATACTAAAGTATGACACAAGGAATAATATAAATCAAGAAAAATACATACATACATACATACATACATATATATAATATATACATGGTGCTTAGGGATTAAAAATATGTACTTAAAAATCTACTAAAAATAGAAACTGGCTGCTCTGGGAATTAAGATTAGGAGACTGTAATATTCTGAAATAGCTGTTTCTCTTCATAAAATTATGACCACATGTAGCATTGGTATTAGCAAAAAATATTTAAAAGGGCTGGAGAGATAGCACAGCAGGTAGGGTGCTTTTCTTGCACACGGCCAACCCGGGTTCGATTCCCAGCATCGCATATGGTCCCCTGAGCACTACCAGGAGTAACTCCTGAGTGCAGAGCCAGGAGTAACCCCTGTGCATTGCCCGGGTGTGACCTTAAAAAAGCAAAAAAAAAAGAAAATTAAAACAAGGGTATTTCAGAATTGAAAACCACGTATATAAAAAATCTTGCAAAAAATATAAAATCATAAAACTATTTCTGCAAACTCCTATATATATGTATATATATATATATATGAATTTCCTAAACAACAGAAATTCATTACACAATTGAGACTGGAGGCTGTTAAGAACTTTGGCCTTGGATTTAAGTGCCTGAAAAAGTAGAAAGGAAGCACTCTCAAAAGAAGGAGTTATAAATTCTGAATGTGTTTCCATGGTAACAGAACCACTTTAATAAACTGCATGTTTGCCTAAAGAGCTATATTTACTGTGATAAGCTTTTCAAAAAGTACATGTCAAGATGCCGTATTTTTTAAGGTACTTTTATTTACCATCCACTGAAGACTTAGTATACAATCACCGCACCCAGACTCGGATGTGTTCCCTATCTCTGCATATGAAAGCTATTTCTGCCAGATGCCCCCCACCCTCCAACTGATATCACCCTCTCCCAACTCCCCATGACAATGAGAAATTACAAATGTCAAAGCTGAAGCTGTCTGCTCTCTACTTTTGATGATCCTGATTCAGGAAGGCTTCTGATTATAATTAATATTATAAAGTTTAATTACATAATGGAAAAAAATCAGCCGCGGGACTCATTATCACA